GGCACCCAGCTGGCATAGGTTCATCAGTTTTGGCTTAAAGTTTTATATTTTAATTTTGATGAAATTCAAAAAAAAAAAAAAAAGACCAAAGAGAAAACAATCTCAAAAAATCAAAGTCATAAACAAACAAAAATCTTCAAAAGGCATATGCATATATCGCCACTCATAACAGCTCTAACTTAACTAACAGCTTGTTTTATTCATTTTGCGACCTCCAAATAAGATTAGATAAAGCACGGCCCAAGACAGTGAATATCAATGCAAAAATGGAAGTGAAGATCTATTTTAAGCAAATTTATTTTCTTACAAGCTTTCAAATTAGTGACACATTTAGGTTTAATCCATCCTGTGATTAAAATATTTCCATGCATAATGAAAAAAGATATACACTCTAATTAAGTAATCCCATCAAACACACAAGCAACTGAAAACAACAATAGAGATAGAAAAGAATCAGTCTAAAACAAGTGAAAAGAATCGCATACCAAAATATTATCACCATCTAACATCATAACAGGCTTTAACATATTGGGATAAGGAAAAGGCAATAAACACAATAATAAAATAAAATAAACATCAAAACTAACAGCCAACTTATCACTCAATCTTACCCTTGAAGGTTAAGTATTCAAAGGGAATGGGGCATTCTAGACTAACTGTTCATTCAACCAGGACTTTCTAAGGAGTTGAAAACATCACGTACCAACTGCTTCAGGAGGATTCTGTCAAACAAAAGTACTTGAAGTTGAGACTCCAAGGTGAGAATCACAGTACAGACAGACGTTTCTTTTTGAGCTTCATCATCCTTTCCCAACCACACATCGCAGAATATGAATGGAAAGCGTAGAAGCAAACAAAGAAAAGAGAAATTAAGGAAAAGCAAAAGCTAAATGGCCGGGCTCTTCAGTCGTGTGTATCAAATATAGCCGTTACATTCGTTCTTACAAATTCAGATACAGAATGAAATCAAAAGGCAAAGGAAAGAGCTCAGATTTTACCTTTCTACACAAGCTCAGAGGTCGAGAGACCCTTTCTCCTTCTCTTGAAAAAAAAAACAAAAACAAAAACCCTAAGAACCTCCCTAGAATCTATCCCCTTCTTTTTATAGCCGCCCCACTCTTTCTATCTCTCAGCCTCAAAAACCCTCCTCTTTACATATATATCTCCTTTTTAAATATTTCCTGTTCATTCTTTCTCTTCCCAAAATCGAAGCCCTAAAGCTCTCTCTCCTCTCCCAAATCACCTCTGTCCTCTCCTTCTCTCTCCTCTTCTCTCAGTTTTTCTTCACAAAGCCGAAGAAGAATTCCTTATAGCCGCGTCTCTGCCTCTCTTCTTCTCTAGCTATCACAGCATTATACCTCCTTTTGATTCCCTCACACCCGCGACGCCTTCTTCCCTCGTCACAGGTGTTGTCACAGCCGCTCGGTTCGCGTAGCACTTGATTTTGCTCCTGTCTTCTTCTCTTTCACCAAACCGAATCAAAAGCCTCTCTCTTCCCCCGCTCCCTGTCTTCTTACAGGTGGTGCGCTCCTCCTTCTCTGCCTTTGTACGACAGCAGTCTACTGCAGCTTATACTGTACGATTGCAGTCTTCTTTCAAGCGATAAAGAAGATCAAAATCGGTGCGTTTAGAGCTAAAGACCATGGGCTTGTAAAACGGTGAGTTAACAGTAGAGACTATGCGCTGGGAAAGGATTTTGGGTCGTTTGTTTGGGCTCACATTTAATTAAATAGGTTGGATTTAAGCTTCATTTTGTAGTCAAAATATTAAGAAAATAAGAGCTTAAAATGAAATTTTAACAGACTAAATTTGGGATGAATTTTTTATTTATTTTTATATAATAATATTATTAAATAATAATGATACTTATAATTATGATAAATATTATAGTTGATGGTGTTTCTTAGATTCCTTTAAAGTTTTTTTCCTTTTAATTTTCAGTTTAGTTCATTGTCATCCTCTAACCCAATTTTTTGCTTTTTTTTTTCTCTTTATATTGCTAGAATTTATAATTAGTTAATTAATTAATTAGTTAAAAAGACACCTTAATATATCTAATGACTTCATTTGTCAGAAAAAATTCTTGAAAATACAGGTCCTATATTTGGTAAAATAATTTCTTAACACTGTTTAAACATTAGTACTCTGATTACATAATAATTTAATAAAATTAATTAATATCTAATTATTATAAAAGATGATATAATATAAAATTATTATCTACTACAAACTTTTATATATAAGGTGGAATCAAATAACATTTCTCCTTACAAATCATGTGAATGCCCACAACTTTAGAATATGCTAAGCTAAGAAATGAACATTAAGAACTTGATAATTGTTCTTCTTCTAAAGTCAATCACAATTTAAAATATTTAATAACGAAATTTTATTAGAGATTTTACACTATAGATGATTTAGTATATCTCTAAATATAATTAGTAAATATTAACTATTATTTTATAGCCTTTTTAAGAATAATCTAAAACTAATTAATTATGTTTATAAAATTTATAAACTAGTCTATAGTTGAAAGTAATACTTAAAGACAGCTATTTTTTCTTCTTTTTTGTATTAATTAAGCTGTTGGTGCGTGCTTTTCCTTGTCATTATCAATTTCCTCTTGTTTAGATTGATTAGGGTTGCTGTGTAATGAGCAATCTCCATTGGTAGACTGAGAATCTGTAACGATCTGAATCTGATTATCAAAACGCTGTGATTGATCTCTGGAAGACGCCATTTCCATCTCCTTCTTCTTCTTCATCTCCTTGTTTTTACCCCATACCACCATGTATAAACCGCACACGATCAGAGCAGCTCCTATCACACTGTTTCCCACAAATTAAAAACCCATTTAATATATATATATACGCTCAACGTGATATATATATATATATATATATAGAGAGAGAGAGAGAGAGAGAGAGTATATATAATATACAATACCATCCAGTGTAGAGCTTCTCATCCAAGAGCAAAGATCCGGCAATGGCAACCAGTAGAACTGATAAAGGGCTGAAAACTGTTAGAAATAATGGGCCTCTCTTCACCACACACCATGCTATCACAGCCACTATCAAACCAGATGTTACAATTCCCTGCAGCCCATATTACCTTTTTAATTTACAACATCATCTATATATATATATATATATATATATATGTACACGTGTATATTAAAAATAACAGAAGAATTAAAAAAAAAAGAAGCTTTAGAGAGAAGTGTAAAGTTAATTAGAAAAAGGAAAGTAAAGAGAATACCGTGTACGCCGCAGCAAATAAACCAACTGAATCCAGTTTCCATTTCTTCCAATCTCTCTCAGTACACAAAGCAAAAACAGTGCATTGAATTGTTCCCATGAGTGAGATCAGAGCTGTACTTGAATAATGACAGGTGTACTGCGTGCTCATCTTCGTCTGCATGCTCTCCAATTTTAAACCATCACTCCAAATTAACAATAATTACTTTACTAAATAATAATTACTTTACTAAATTAATAATAAACCAGTACTGGTGCGACCTGAACGATTAACCAGAGTGAATAGGAGACGCAAGCCGCAACAGCCAAGGAGCAACCGAGAACGGTTTGAGCCGGCTGGTGGAGGTTTTTCTGGATGGCAGGTGGCGGCTGGTGGCTCAAGATATTAATATGAACAGACCAGAGTTTGATTTCTCCTCCTTTGTAGAAAGTTAGAATCATAGCTCCTCCAATTCCCACTAATGTTCCCACCAACTTAGCCTTCCCTGCTAATGTCTTCAGTCCCACTTCCTCTAACCTAATTCACAACAACAACAAAAATCACAAGGCTTATGTATATGTGTGTATGTCTCTCTGTGTGTATATATATATATGCATGGGTGTATGTATGTATACCTGAAACAAATGGCCAAGATAAAGGTAATGGCAGGAATTAGATTAGTTATGGCAGCAACAAAAGTTGCTGATGTTAAGGCCAGACTTTCCATGTACAGATTTTGATTCAGCAATCCCCTGCAAGTACAATATAGTGAGAAGGGAATCATATATATGTAAAGCAAGTTTACCATTTTTATATGTACAGGAGAAATTGATGTATAGGATGTATATAACCTACCCAAAGAGGCCACAAAGAAAAGTCTGGAAGAGTATCTTCTTTGTAAGGCTTGGTCTCTTCTTCCTGTCAGATTTACACACCAATACAAATATATTAATGATCACGTTCATCCTTATATGTACTAGTTGCAGGCATATATATATATATGTATATAATGATGTATTATATACGGATATACCTTTCAAAGATGAAGGCAAAAGGAGCAACAGAAACGGTGGCAAACATGAAACGATAGGCAACGAGAATTCTGCGATTGGTTCCATTACTTGAAGCCATTTTGAGGAGAATAGTCATTGCAGCATACGCAGCTTGAATCACCAACGCTACAATCACTGGTTTCGAATCATCAAAAGCTTTTCCCATATGCCCCATCCTTCTTGTAATATAAATTAGTTACAGAGAGAAACAGAGCAACCGTGATGGTATATATATGTATTCAAGAGTAGTGTGTGTGTGTGTGAATGAGACTAATTTGTTGAAGAAGAAAGAGGCGATCGTTCCTTCTTCTTCGTCTTAGTTCTTGACTGGTAAAGAAAGAAGGAGAATGAGTTGTATGAGATTATGTGTTTGAAGGAAGGAGATGATGATGGTGAAGGGTATTTATACAAAATGATTTACCAATGCCTATGCATGTATTTTATCTCGCCGTAATTGCTTATAGGAAACCACCTTCCTACTCACTTTTCTGGAAAGTTGTTTTGATTTTTTAAGAAACCAATCTATAATATACATATATATATATATGTATATTATAAAGAATAGTGAAAAGTGCAACGTGGTATTTTTTATTAATTTTTGAAATAAATTTTAATCTTTAAATAGTTTTAAAATATACCAAAAACTATCCTCTTACATTTACTCATTTTTTGAAATAATTTTTAAATTTTAGTAGCTTTTAAATATTAAAATAAAATTAATATGATAATATGTAATAAATATTTATATTATCAAAACATAAAAATATAATTTAATTTTTAATTAATTAAAAACTATGCAATAAATAATTTTAGATATTAGAACAAAGTTAATATAACGACTGACTAAAAAAATTTAATCAGTTATATAATTTAATTTTAATTTAATAAAAAATCTATACTACCTTAACCAGTTGCTACAACTAATATATCGAAATTGAGGTTATTTATAAATTATTAGTTAAAATGATACTATTTATAATTGATATATAAAATATAATTAAAATAATAATATTTATTATAATTATCTATTTGATTTTTAAATATAAAATATTATTTAATTTTTAGTGGACTAAAAATATGTATAAAATAAATATATATTTAAACTTTTAGTTAATTACAAACTCTTGAACTACACATTATATAAGCTTTTGATCATTTATTTAGTTTTTTCACATTATTTGTTATGTATATTTTTCCCAAAAAAGTAAAATATGATAATTTTTACATTTTTATGAGAAATTATTTGATTTTTATAAAACTTTTGTTTACATAAAATAATATTTATACTAAAATTTATAAAACTATATTTGGTGAATATCACATGTTGAGACCTAATATTATGTAATTAAATATATACTTTTTACAATTATGCTTTTAAAAAAATACATTTGTTTTATGTTATTATTTTTAGTATAAGTACATATATTTCCTCACTTATGTCATATATATATATATATTAATTATAATGTAATTTCTTAATGAAAATGAAAATAATAATAATAATTTTATAATCTGACTCAAATGCACAATATCTAATCATCCAATAAACAAATAACACTTATACAGAGTATGTATTATATAAATTTTCTTACAAAAATACACAAAAAAAATCGTAATCTAACTCTAACATGCAATCTCTATCTCAAAAAAGATGTATCAAATATGTGACTAAAGAATCAATGATCGATAAGAAAGTCAAAAGATTTTATGAATTAGATTTTATTCTCTTTTAGATGATTGTTTTTTTCTTGTACTTTTTTTAAAAGATTTAAACATCATTAATGACAATATTCTTTTTTTTCTTGTACTTTTTTAGATATTTAAACACCATTTTATGACATATTCTTTCTTTTTATGCAAAACTTAAAGATCACCAAAATTAAATTGGGCCAAATGTATGCATTAATTTTTTTTTAAAGCTTCTTTTAATATTTTTTTGTTGGTAACTTTTTTCAAAAATAAAAAGTAAAAACAGTACAGTTGG